TACAGTGCTGCCCTCTAGAGTATGCAATGGAAATGCACTTTTCGATATCTCAGCACAAAAGTATGCCACAGTTTTATTTGTTGGTTGTGAGCTTTGCTAAATGCAATGAAAATTAGCAAAGTTCACAACCAACAGAATGATAATAAAATATGTTGCATAATTTTGTGCTGGAATGTCAAAAATGTGTTTTTATTGCATATTCCCGAGGGCAGCGGGAGTAGCTACAGAAATTTGATATAAAACTGTTGCATACTTTTGTGATGAGATGTCGAAAAGTGCATTTCCATTGCATACTCTAGAGGGCAGCATTGTAAATTTAAAGAAATCTTGAATTCGCGATAGGGGAATTTGCGCTAAATCCAACTTAGATGTCAGCTCCATCCGATAGAAATAAACGCCATTTTTTTGTGTTTTTTTTTTAAGTTTTTTATTTAAAAATTAGTTTGATACAGTTCGTTTATAATTTTTACACATATTTAGTATGAATAATAATAGTAAGAGATTTCTCTATGCTTATAATTAGGTTTTAGCATACACATATATACTAACTAGCATTAATGTAACTACTAAGGAAAATGATAATAAACAATAAACACAAATGAAAACACGAATTTAAATGTTTTAGATAGTTTGCTCAACAATCAAATTTCGATTGTTTAATGAGAGTATAATTTAAATGTTCAAATCGATAAGCTAACCAAAATATTATAAAATAATGCCAGTATTCAGCTCGATGTCTAGCATAATCAAAAAAAAAAAGTTTCATAAATAATAGAAACAGCAAAAAAGAAAATAATTTGTTAAAAAAAATAATTAAAAATGAATTTAGCTCAATGCAAAGAAAATATTTATGTGACAAAAATCAATTTAACCTGACTGATTTAGACAAAATTACAACTCTTGACAAAATTTGCTAAACATATAATGATTAATACATAATACATTCAATATTAATATATACATGTAATATTCATATATATATTTATGTATATATATATAAATATATCTTTATAAATGTTTACAAAGATTGAATCTTATTTATGCACAAACTAAATCAATGTTTTAAGCCTCTTGATGTTTGATGTTAAATAAATAAACAAAACCAACGAAAGACTAATTCTTTATACTAAACCAACAGATTGTTGAGCAAGTGCTTAAAAGCCGCCGAGTTGATGATGATCCCTGTACCTCCTTGCTGCAATACTCCGAACTTATTCACTGACTCCTGCATAGATTAGTTGCTGGCTGCCTCCAATCGAGTATTTGGCTTCCACACATAAATCCATTCTAAGCTTAATGGGAATGAAAGTTAGTCTTGAACATTGTCTTAAAGCATCTCTTGATTAAGTGTGTATAATACAATTTTACAAATTTATTTAATTAGGCATATGTTTTATATAATCGTACAATTTCAATATGTTCTCTTTACAATTTAATATCATTTACTTAGATTGACTACGCTTGTTGTGTTAATAGGTTAAGAAGTTTTGATTATGCGGTTTGAGTTCGACTAAAATTATGATGGATTAACGTGTTTCTGATTGCAAGTGCAAGTCAACAATTACAAAGTTCTCCATTTTGATATGGCGACAAGGGTATTGAAAACCGTTAAAAAACGTTAAAAGATAAAGGCTTTTCGATTTCACACACAGATATTGGTCCAACGTTTCTTATACATAGACTCGCCTCATCCAAATAAAAACAAATCTAGCGTTGAATGTCAATTTGATTTAGATCAATTGGTTCGCTAGCTCTTCAATTAATATACGTATATATAGTACAGTATAGTATAGTAATTGAATAACAAAAAATTGCTAAATAATCTGAATGCAACACAAATTCTAAATCATCTAACGATGAGAAGTGTGATTCGGCGTAACAATAAAATGTTTCGTTTCTCCATTAATTAGTGAGCAAAATCAATAGATATGTATATATACATATATATAGATATATAGGTAGTTATATGTATGTTAACACAGTTGAAATTGGAGTAAATAATATACTATATAGCAAATATTGTTAATACAATGTTCAACATTTAGGCACAAATTATATTGCTTTTCAATTAGTTAGGGGAAATTATTGCATATTTTTTAAAAGAGTTGATCACTCCGTCTTTTACATCCAACTGGGGAGTCCCATCATCTTCATTATCATCATCATCATCATCATCATTATCATCAAAATAATACATATGTCTGTGTTTTATAATTAGGAATCATATATGTCGAAAAGCTCGAATTCAAGTTGAGGTCAAACGTTTCGGGGAATTGGTGTTCGCATTACTGTTGGCCAGCACCGCCTCCTTGGCACGCTCGTGTTCGTCTTGAAAGAAGATTTTGGTAATGACAACGTCGCCGGTACTCAGTGTCTGCGACTCGGCATCCACCAGCTTAACGACTCGCTTGTCGTTTCCAGATCTTAAAATGGGCGTAATACTTCTTTCTCCATGGCAATTGCAGTTCTTCATACTAGAAATTTTCAAAATTTTACATTATTTTGACAGTCAAGGGTAACTCCTAGTCGGGCACTTCTTACTTTCTCGATTTCTCGCGAATGATTTGCAGATTCTCA